ATTCCTGCATAGCACTTCATTTCTTCCTCGGGAGTGAAATTCCACCTTTGGCTGTCTCATCCAAATGATGGTTTAGAATCTCTTCATAGAATGGTTTGGGTTGGAAGGGACCTTAAAGATCATCCAGTTCCAACCCCCCTGCCAGCAGCAGGGACACCTTCCACTAGACCAGGTTGCTCAAAGCCTCATCCAACCTGGCCTTGAACACTTCCAGGGAGGAAAAGCCACAGCTGCTCTGTGCAACCTGTTTCAGTGTCTCACCACATTCACAGGAAGGAATTTCTCCCTAATTCCTACTCAGAGTTATCCGTGGTGATTGCAGGGGTAGGGGAGAGCAGCAGGCAGAAAGGGGCAAATTGCAGGGAGGTGGGTGCTGGGGCTGGCAGAGGTACCTGCGGGACAATGTCCACCCCACATTACCCCTCAGCCCCAGACAGGCCACCAAAGGAGGTTTTAAGACCACGTGCCCAGGCTTACACTCCTTTTAAAAAGACTCCTGAAATTAGTATTCAAATCATTAATTAAAAAAATAATAATAATTAAAAAAATAAGATGTGATGAGACCTGACAGTGAGGTTTCCAAGCGTGCCAGCTCCCCAACTCAAACCACCTGTGTGCCTGAGACCACTGGATTATTTCTGAGCCTTTGTAGCCCAATGAGGCACAAGAGACCTTTGTAATCCATGGCATTTAATTTTGGACCTGGGTGACTCTTGTAAATACAGCAGTGCCTGAGCTCATATTGACCCAGAAGACAGGAGCAGCCTTACTGGTATAAACACACATTTCCCAATATAGCATCACTTCGTGTCCCTCCACACGCAGGTGTGAGGAGCATAGTGGTATTTTCTGGAGCAATTTTATCAGCACTACGAGGGACAACACACCCTGAAAGAGGAAGGTAAGAGAAGTCCCTAACGGTGCCTTTTGCCTTGCAGGTGATCCTCCCTGCTTCTGCCCTTTGGCTTGTCCTGCTCCTTTCTGAGCTGCTGAAAATGGAAACCCAGAAAGTTTGTCTCAGGGTTGTTTGGTGCATCCCCCACCCCATCCTCTTTCAAAGAAAAAGGAAAACAATATAGACAAAAAATTCAATAAAATAAAGCCCAGAGTAGAAGATCCAGTTGCATCCAGAGTGCAAAGCTGTGGGCGGTCAGTGGCCACAAACGCTGATGAGCAGAGACTCCAAAACCAAAGAAAGTTCCCAAATTCCCGTATTTGTTTTGCAGGCTGCTGGTTTGCTGTACTCACCCCCGCTTCTTCCTCCTCCTCTGAGCCGTCCCCCTCTTCCTCAGATGAGTCACTGCCCTAAGGAGAAGGAAAACCAGGCTGGTGGGTCTCCATGAACACAACGGTCCCAGTACAGCCTCGCAGGCCAGTGGCAGACAGGGCACAGAATGTGCCCCCATCCCATTTGGGCTGATATCTCCACATTTGGTGAGCGGTGAAGCATCAACAACCCCTCTGAAGTACCCACCTGGTACCATCGCTGCGGGGGATGCAGGTAGGCGTATCTGTACAGGTAATACCGGTGCCTGTTCTTGAACACCTACCAGGATAAAGAAAGGGTTAAATCCCATCAGTCTGGGGGCTTGGGTACAGGAGAGATGGAAATGTCCTTGTCCCCAAGGCCAGCGCCGTGTGGGGCTGGGCACGCAGGGTAGGGGGAGACCCTACCGCGTTTTCTTCTGAGTCATCCGACTTGGCTCGCCGCAGCCAGCTCTTGACCTGGGGGAAAGGTTGGGTTGGCACGTACCCCACACCAACCCTGGCAAGGTCAGGGGGTAACCCCACTGCCCAGCACTCACCGAGAAGGCGCAGGACATCCCCACCAGGCAGGCGAAGAGCAAGACCGTCCTCATGGCTGTTTTCTCTAGGAACAGTGAAACATGGCCAGGGCTGGCTTTCCAGCTAGAAAGCATCATCACTACCCCAAACCACCCAGGTGTTTGTGTCCACATGGGAGAGTGGGGAGAAGCAAGGCTGACCTCCAGCCACCTCTCAACAAGCCCACCCAACCCCTCCAAAAACCCAAGTCCTTCTTTTTTTGATGGATCTAGAGCCCACCCAACCCCTCCAGAGTCTCAGGTCCTTCTTTCTTTGATGGATCTGCCTCAATTTCCCTGAATACACTTTGGTTTTTGCAAGAAGACACAAAATACCAGAAGAGCAAGTTTCACCCTGTAGCAGACACATTGCTTTCCCTGAGCAGGACTACTCACTCCTGCTTCCCCATCATGTGTGAGCGAGTGGGGAAAATCATTCCCCACCACCCAGAGATGCAACAGGAGCAGCAGATGGAAATGCTGCCCATCACAGCCACCCTCTCACAGCCCCATAACCTACTCTGGCTCTACCCAGGGAGCAACATCCCCAGGAATTACACCACAGAGAGTTGAACTTCACTGAGGAAAAATAAAGAAGCAAACCAATAAATGAATGTGATGGGTTTCTACACCCCATCATTGAGAGAAACAGCAGTGGCAAGGTACCAGGGTGAGAAGCTCCCTCTGAAGGCACAGCCAGGGGAAGCCTTGGCTCTGGGCAGGTCCAAGCTGCACCCCTAAGCACCAAAACCCAGCCTACCCTTCTCCATCCCAGTCCCAGCAAGCATGTCTGACCCTTCCCACAGCATCCCAACCTCCTCCCAGGGAGGGATGCTCCTGGCATCCTCCCAAGCTCACTCAAGCCCACTCATCTTTTTTTTCCCTACCTTTCCTCCAGCTAAACCCTGTGCTGAGATTTGTGGAGGGAGACTTGTTATATTTATCTGCACTTGAAATTTCTCCATCTTCTTTTAACTCAGGCTAGAAAACAATGAGCCACAAGCTCGCTTCCCTAGCCACGCTGGGATCCTGCCCACCTCTGGATGCTCATCCCCTCCATCCAACTGCTTCCTAAAGCCACGGACCCAGGAAAAGGTAAAAAGCAATTATCTAGTGATGCCAGAAATTTAACCCCCCTTGGAAAAAGCAGAGAGCAAAGCACAACCCAGCTGGGATAAGCAGCAAAAGAACTTACCCCGTTGCAGCACCGACGGCGACGCGCGGAGTCGGCCGGCACAGATTTCCTCCTCCCGCTGCCTGGCCGGGATATAAAGTCTATTTTTGACCCCCTGGAGCCAATCACCGCCCTGCCCAGAGTGACGCCAGCTCGTCAGCGTGTGCCAGAAAACCCCCCAAACTTCAACGCCGGCAAATTTGGTGCCCAAACATAGCACCCCACACCGTTGCCAAACCCGGGGAGGTTTTGCACCGCGCCGCTTAATTGAGGGTCTGGTCAGAGCAGAACTGGGAAGCTGGAGGGTATAATAACACTCTTAGGTTGAAATTAAAATAAATATTGGGAAATCTGTTCTCCAGGGGTGTCTACCTCCCTTTTTGGGAAATTCTGCCACTGTTTTTTCAAGAAGATAAAAAAGACCAACCTCAAAGGCCCTGCTCCGCAGTCACTTAGAGCTGGTAGACCAAAAAAAAACCAGGCTAAGTGTCTCCAGAGGTGAAATGGGCCTTGGGAAGGGCAAGGAGAGAAAAAGGGGACTCAGATACAGGTGTCACCTGTCTCATTTTGAAGGAGGGGGGCCAGCCTGGCCCTTCACTCTCCAAAATCAGGTATTGCCCAGCTGGAAGCTGTCAGCTCTGTACAGATCCCCAGTAAAGCAGAATGCCTGAGGGAAAAAACAAAAACAAAAAAAGGAGGAAAAAAAATCACCTTCATGGCCATCTAAAGCTCAGTGGGGACCTCAGTGGCAGGACGCGGCCAGTGGTCAGAGCCCATCCTTCTTGCTGCGGCTGCCCCCTCCCTGCAGGGACAGCTAGGACAAGGGGAAATGGATTTCAACTGGAAAAGTGGAGATTGAGATGAGATCTGAGGAAGAAATCCTTTCCTGTGAGGGTGGTGAGACCCTGGCCCAGGTTGCCCAGAGAAGCTGTGGCTGCTCCTCCCTGGAAGTGTTCAAGGCCAGGCTGGATGAGGCTTTGAGCTACCTGGTCTAGTGGAAGGTATCCCTGCTGATGGCAGGGGGGCTGGAAAGAAAAGGCCTTTAAAAACCCTCCCAACCCCAA